GGCGGGGGGGGGAAGTGGCCAGGCCCCGGCCCCGCCGCAGGATCTCCAGCTGCACCGGGGTGCACTGCACGCAGGTGATGCCCAGCGCCACCCGCCGGTTGTGGATCTCATTGTAGCTGAAGTTCTTCAACAGGGTGTTGGAGATCTGCGCCAGGCACAGCCGCTCCTGGCCGTCGATCACCAAAGACACGATGGGGATTCCATATAAAATCACCTGGCCCACTTGGTTCGGTTTCATGCTGGCGTGACTGGCTCGCGGCTGGCTCATGGAGTCCGGCTGGTAGGTGCTGGAGGGAGAAGGGAGCAGAATGTCCGTGGGTCCTGGCAGGGGGCTGCTGGCCATCTCTTCAGCGCTCACCCTCGGCAGTCTCCTGGGGCCCACTGGAAGAGAAAACAACACGGGTCTGCGGATGGGCCAGTGAAGGGAGGAAAGGCAAACATCACTCTCTTCTGGGCAGCCTCCGCAACGTTACAGAGCCGCCATGGCGGGCCAGCCCACAACACAACACAACCCAAGTCCCACGCTTGCTGCTTCTGCTAGAGTTTGAGACACACTTTGGTCTATTTACAAGTGAATCAGACAGAGGAAAGTTAACCCTTTTGTTAAAGCCGGGGAGGCCAAAAAAAAAAAAGGTTATTAGACCTGACAGAAGCTTATATGCTTATTCTAGTCCAACAAGAGCTGCACAGGTGCAAACGTGACATCTAAAAATGGGAGGGATAAGGTAGATAGTCTCTCTTATTGGACAGACTTGTGAAAGGTATTACCTCACTCACCTTGTGTTTCATACCCTGGGCTACACCCGCAGATCTAAAACCGAGCCAGTTTGCACCCCAGGATTGCTTTCCGCATTTCAATCTTACCTAGAACATCTATTGACTTCAGTAGGAGTCCTGAATGGCAGAGTCTTAAAATAAATTTAGCCTAAAACGTATTTAATGTGACCCGACTGTCCTTAGAACCAGTTTTAATTCACCATCGCCAATCAAAAGTTTAAATAATTTTTCTTAAATGTAACGGAATCCACCTCACCTATGCATTACAGCGAGTGGTACTATTTTTTGCAATGGAAAACTGCTGTCCTCAATCGCTAAAAAGAAAAATTTGGCAAGCTTCTAAAAACGGAAACAGTTTAGTTAATTTTGGAGTATCAGGTGTTAAAATCATATAGACTACTGCTTGGTCAACAGGATAAATCTGGATCGTCATTGTTGAGACCCAAATAGTCCTAAATAGGAAAAGGTGTTTGATTTGAAACCATTTTCAAATATCTACCTATTACTGTGTTGACATTAGAAAAGCAATGGGTATGTAAAGAATGTTAGAGCAAATGGTTTAAGAATTAGACGAGGTTTCGAGGAAGCCATCCAATTACCACCCACCATCAGCAGAAAATATTTAATTACTTTCCACTTTCCTTGGATGCTATGGGGACGTCCCCTCTATCTTTGAAAGATTGATAATGCCACCTTTTCGAAAGGTCGGTGCTTTTAAAAACTCAGACTTCTGATTTCAGCTCAGGTTCGAATACTCAATTCTTTAATTACATCAGTTAAGAATATTATCAAAGCAAGTAATAGTTAAAATAAAGCGATCGAATGAATCTTATCAAACCAAATAACAAAAACGCCTATGGGCCAAACAGTTTTTTTCACCGCAGTTTTTAAAAATGCACCATCTTCTCCCAAGAAAACATTGGATAATAACTGGGCTAATCAGACGCTGCATCAGTTGCTTAAAATTGTCCTTCTCCAACCATCTCAATGTTGTCATTTATGTTTAATAAGTTGCAGATCATATTTATTTCTGATTTCAAAGATCATAATACAATCTTGATTCTGCCTTTGGTAGGATATTGTTATTATTTTACAGTATTCCCTTCCCTGATTCTCGGCGTTCATTACCACTGGTGGCCTTCAAGACTGCTGAACAAACCTAGAGCCGTTCAAGCAAGACAGGAACAGAGCTTGTCACCTCGGATGGATCAGATACAATATCTCCAATGGACAGATAATTACTTAGCAGTTAATATGTAACAACAATTAAATCTGGTACGCCAACTCTTCAAATAGCTTCTTCATTGACCAAGATTCTTATCTTCTCAGGTGCTATGCTGAATGAGATTAAGTCCAGCTAGACTTTCCTGGTATGATTTTTTCAAGGATTGTGCGGATTAGGCAATGTTTAAACCAGTGCAAATGATTTAAGTCATTTTCCCAGTCTTTTCCTTTCTCTCCTCCCCTTCCAAAGATGAGAGGTGGGGGAAAGCTATATATATATATATACACACACACACACATACAGCGGCGGTGGGTAAAAGAAGTCAATGGAATTTTTAAAAAGCAGATGGAAGAAAGAAAAAGTTTTGTTCAAGAAAGCATTCTATAAAAGGGTGCGTAGCATCCTCCTTTTGTCCTATTAATGTATAACCTGCCTGCCCCTCCCCTCTACACCCATCCTAAACTTTATGCAGAACACCTGACCCGAGCTAACACTGACCCGAACAAGCAACGAGGATGAAATATTTACCTCCTGAATCAGGGTGGTCTTTACATAGGCGTCCTCCTAACCGTCTTCCTGGGGGAACTCAAAAAGGAGGGGTGGGGGGTTGGGAACAGACATCAAAGCATGTCCTCAAATCCAGCAGGCAAGGAGTCTCGCAAGGTTTCCTCCGCTCATAGGCAGGCTGTCCTCTGCGTTAATACCACTAGCAGGGAGGAGAATGGGGGCTCCCCCCCCCCCGCCAGCTGATGCGCTACGTGCGCGAATGGGTCTGCGCCCAGCCCCAGGTGGAGCGATCGCTGGAGCTGCTGCGTTCCCTCTGCCGCTCAACTCCATGCGGACCGAAAGGACGACACCCAGTGGGCACAGTGACGTCACCGGCTCCCAGGCATGTCACATCCACGGGCTGCTCCGCTGCACCAGGGAGCCCTCGCGTCAGGCGGAGAACTCGCTGCAGCGCCCTGCGCCTCTCCCGCAAACACAACCAGCGCTCGGCCCTCGTGGGGTTTCCACGGGGGGGGCGCAGACGCCCAGCTCCTTCCTCGGTGCAACCACGAGAGGTGATGTGCAGGGCCCCAAACTTGGCGTCTCTTCTCCCAGACTTCATGCACGGGTCTGTTGTCACCCTACAATGCCATAGTCTTACCCTGCCTATCCAGTCTTACCCTACGCCGCGCCAGCTCCTACACTGCCCAGCTCTCGCTGCTGCTCCGCTGTCCCCAACAAGTGGAAACTCGGGGGCCTTCTTCCCTCATTCCCAAACAGTATGGAGGTGTTTTTAAAATTACACCAGAGGATCGATCCCGCCATCCTTACTCCCCTCTTTGCCTGAATAGCAGCCTCAAGCCCTGTAGGTCCTGGGGGATTCCTCTACTCCCCCTTCTTAAAGATTTGGGAAGAAAACTTGCAAAAATACGACTCCGTGCAGCCTCTACACCTGCTGTTTTGGTCTGGTATAAAGTAAGTTTTTAAGATTGTCGTGTGTTTAAACCACGGATGCTTATGTCCAAAGGGGTAGGGAGGTGACCTTTCTGAGCCGGAGATCTTGAAAAGGGAATTTCGGTTGGAAATCTTAAAATTACTGTAAAATAATCCTTTATGGAGCGATTCTTTCAGTAGCAAATCAGCAACAGCATCTCAGACGCTTTAGATCGTGTCAAAACT